TAATTTGCATTCTTTTTTAATTTTTTAATCGATTTTTTCATAATACAATAGATTTAGATTAAAGAATTACTTCGATATAAAGAGAGTTATACAAGGTACCTTATAAAGGTCATGACCAGCTGCAAACGCATTTTGCTGCTCTGTTTTGTACACGTAGGCTGAAATTGCATGCGTTTTTGAAACTATTTGACTTTATTTTTAACAAAATATTTACTATATATCCTTTGGAAAAATAAAAATTATTGCAAACGATATTTCCAAAATATCATTTATTACATTTTGGAAGTTATATTTTGGAAAAATAAACATTATTCAGTAATGGAAATTCCGATAAATTGTAAAATGCAGACAATACTAAGAAACCGTTTCGTATAAGAATGTTATTAGGCAAATATGTGTCGTATATTTTCCCTAGCCTTTCAATTTAAAAAAGCCGAAAAGTAGTATCCTTCATAGAACGAAGGACTAAATAACAAGAACGTAAGATTTGGGCGGGAAATCATTTTCTAACAACGTTTCAGTGTGATGCAGGAAAGCAAAAATCCAAATGGAATGTTGAATTCTTAGTGACATGCTTAAAAATATCGGAAGAATAAAGGAATTTTTTTTTTTACTTATTAATTATTTTACAAATTTTTAGATATTCTAAAAATATAATTCTTATCCTTGTAGAAACATTTTCATCTCATAAATCACTCTCAAAATAGTAGACAAGATATTAAGCACGTAAGGCTTGTTTATACTTTTTCAATACTCTGTCGGCGACAATTTAAAAATAGAAAACCTAAATGTTTTATAGAATGTTGAAAATTGACCAAAAGAGTATAAAATAATTTAACTTTTCACGGATAACCGTTTAAGGCCTTCGGGGTTTTCCTCTCCATATAACGCAAATGCGAGCTAGTTCCATCGAAAAGTCCTCCACGAAGGCAAATTTCTCTCGATACTCTTGATCTATTTCTTTATCTAAATTGGTTGCACTATAGCGATCAGTATTAAATAATTAGTTATGCATTAAGCATTTATTTAGATTCATTTTGTTAGGTAGTATTTAGTAATATTTCAAGTAGTATTACATAATAAGTTATATGATAAGTATTTGCTTAAATTCCTTCTGTTAGTCTTAAATGATTGTTTAGGTAGCTTTGAATAGTTAATGATTTTATTTATTTTATTATTATGGTTATATTTCATCCCTTAATGCATGGGAAAAAAATTAAGTCTCTATTAGCACAATTAAGGATAATTATTAATTTGGATAAATTTATAATTTCAAATATATAAGCACAGAATGAATAATTAAAGTATCAAGTGGAGCTCAATTTATATGCTACAGTGAACAGCCGAAATCAAGAAAATGTTGACATTCACCGGTGAATGTCAACAATCACATAGTCACATTGATGAATGTCCGAAATATTTGTTATATGCAATTTGATAAGAATTGATTCGTCAATATTTTAATATCTGCTGAGGATAGATTAGAAGAAACATCAGTGTTCGGAGTACCTGGCAAATGTATATCGGGCAATGGCACTTAACTAGATCTAATATATATTTCGGACATTTACGAAAGCGACAATGTGATTGTCAACCGGTGGAAGTTGGCATCTACCAACTTCGGTCATTCACAGTAACGTGTGTATATATATATAT